TTCATTTAAAATACTACACAGAAGGCAAGAGTAAAGACAGAAGCATGTGCAAAAGGTGAAGACAACTTAAAATTATCTTCTTGAGTCCWTGAAACAAGGAACTGGACTCCTGTTTTGAGAAAACCTGAGATGTAGCTAGATATAGAAATGAARCTATCAAGGCATTCAAACAGTGAATGGTTGGTTTACCTGAAGAGTAACGGGGCTGTGATTTGACAACTGGAATCCAGATATGTTGCACTGATTTTTTTAAGCCCGGTCTTCAGTAGGTTTTTGTTGTTCCTTTTTTTTTTTAAGGTGACTCAATGACTTCTATCTGCTCTGAGCTTCTTTAGCTCTCTTCCATTGAACTTCTGCTTCTATTTGGTATTGACTGTTTCAGTATCTGATGGTTTAGTGGGTGTGATGTTCTTGCAGAACACACAGTTCTGCTGCAGCTCCCTTTGAGGTCCAGCTCTTAACTAACCCTGCATCCTTATTCCACTGGCCCAGGGTTGTTGTARATGGAATCTGCCTTTGAAATTCCTGTGGTGCAGTGCCAATCCTGCCTCTTGGTAAGAAGTTTAAAGCCCAGGTACTTTATTGCATTGCAGGAAATGTTGATTCTCTGCAGTTTTGTGTTACACCATCTTTGCTTCTGTTGTACTGAGTGAATTCTGTAGATTTAGGTGTTTTATCTGATGGGTGCAGAGCAGCATGTGTGAGGTGCTGTTCCAAACAACCCTTCCCACACAGCCCAGCCAGCAGCAGCTCTGCTTTACAGGCCAGGCAGCCACAGGTCACCTTAATGAAACACCTTTTAGTTCTTAACTAGTGGAGAAAATTGTGGGGTCCTGTAATGGATATCTCAGCCTCACATCTTCCAATGAATCTTTCATATATTCAAGCATATTGTTTTGTTTTTAGCATTCTGTACACGGAGGTAATAAATAAAAAGCTAGATAGAAACTTTAAAAAAAACCCCAAAATTCTGCAAATCTCTTGTGTTCAAATACAGAAGAGGTCTATAAATGATGCCTCAGAATTTTTGCCTTTAGCTCAGCACAGCAGGGTTTTGTCCTGCCATGTGCCATGGATTGCCAGAGCAGCTGAACTGTCCCTGGATCCCTGGCAGTGCCCAGGCCAGGCTGGACATTGGGGACACTGGGAGTGTCCCTGCCATGGCACGGGGGTGGCTCTGGATGGGATTTAAGATCTCTTCCAACCTCAGCTGCTCAATGATAATTAACTACTCAAAGCAGCAGAGGATTTCCTCATTTCATCCTCTCTTTAGTTAAATCTTGCAATTGCYGGCTGTGCTGATTGCAGCAGATCAGCTCCATTTGGTCACTGGAAATGGATTGTACGTGTTTTTGTTCAAAACAAAACAGTGTAAAATGCCACCTGACTAACTTGATCCGAAGTGACATGGGTGACTTCATTTCCTGGCCTTTTTATGTCAACTTAGCAACTTCTAAAACATTTACCTCCTTTATTTTATCTGCTTCTCTCAATGTTTTCTCCAAGGGTTCCTAAAGTTTATTTTATCTCGGGTTTTCTAAGAATATTCAAAGAATGGAGAAGGAATGGAGAAGGAATGGAGAAGGAATAGAGCTCCCTTGTGACATGCAGATCCTCAGAAAGCAGATGAGCTGTTCCCTGCCCTGCAGGGTGACAGAGCAGGCCGTGGAGCTGATTGTTTTAAGTGTTACTCACATTGATCTTCCTACTTTGGATTAAGTTTTACTTAATGAGGAAGTAATGAGATTATCATAGACAAAAAGGACTATGTCTCTTTTGGGAACRTACCATTTCTGAGCCTTGACTTTATTTCAAACAGATCTATAATTCTTTCTTTAGGGGAATGTAAATTTAAATTATGATCAAGCAATGGTACTTTTCTASCAACTGTTTTGACACTGAATGATAGAAGTATTATACTGTGTATTTTCTTACTGGGGAAMAGAATTAACTGCTGCGAGATTAGCACATTCTGGATGGGTGCCATTTCCAGATAGTTCATTTGACTAGAAGAGAAAGGATCTGATTAAGGGATCAAGCTCATTATTTGTTCATTGTATGTACTCCACACCCTACAATGGCAGCGAGTCTTTGCCTCTTCCCTGACAATAATTAGGATCAGAGGGTTCAACAACTGTGTGTTAATATTCCTTTTCTTTAAATGAAAACATGCAGTAGCTAAGCAATTAACATTTCCATTAAACTTTAAAATCTTTTTTAAAAGCCTCAAATACACAAAATACTCAAGAAATGGCTAGATATTCAAAAGAAAGCACTGAGAATAAGGGACTTGTGTATCTGTTTGTTTTTTTTTTTTCCTGAGTTTGTATTTCTTCAAAACATCTGTCCTAGTGTACAATCCAAGTTGCCATTGATGCTGTGTTACAGGTTTTCAGTAAGTCCATGGTTCAGCTCTGTTTTTTTCGTGGTGTGCACCCAGTAGTACATTACTGGAGCCACTGAGAGTATTGTAACAGCTGCTGTCCCAGGATTCTGTGCCCTTCATTTGCACAAACCCAAGGAGTACCTTCTACACTGTCATTGATGGTTACAATGACTATTAAATTGTGTTTTGTGATGAGTTGATTCATGTTATTGATTTTTACATTGAATAATGTAACCAATTTCAAAGGTGCACCAGAAGTTGTGTTCAAAAGGCATGTCTGGGTCATTAAACACTGAGCCTCCCTGCCAGGAATCCTTCTGCCCTTCTGTTGGTGAGCAGCACTTCAGCTGGAGGAGAAAATGGCCCTGGTGACCCAAATACAAAGATGTATGTATGCAAATGACCTGTTGAATTGAGACAGTGGAATGAGGCTCCTTTGAAGGTGCTGCTGGAGCTGACTGGGAACATTCCCACTGGTGGAACCAGGATGGACCTGATGATCCCTGGAGCAGCCTGGGGCAGGCACCAACCAGGCTTGGCTTCCTCCAGGAATGACTCTGGGGACTTTAATTTCCATTTAAATGACAGGAAGGAGGATCTTGCCTCAGTACTGGCTGCTCTCATTTGTAAGGATAAGGAYAGGTCATACACCTCAGCAACAGCAAGGGCTTACATTAAAAATGCACTGAAGAGTCTGGCTGAATTGGAGATGAAATCCTTTAAGAGGTCGCATTTGTTATTGTCTAAAAGGGTTCAGAATAATGAAATACTAAATTGTCAAAAGGATCRGAAAAAGACAATTGATAAACCTTGYRCTTTTTACTGCTGYTRAAAGATTTGGCTGTGGCTGGTGGTAGGCAGACCTGACTGCATTCTTGGGGGACAGCTTTCTATATCCAGGGACTTCTGCTTGGTGGCTGGCTGATCTTTTGTGCTTTTTCTTTCTAAAATGCACAGTATGGCTGGGTTTGAGGGAGAGAGTTCACAGGAAACCTCGTTGGATGTGACCTTTCCCTTCTGGTGTGACTCTGCTTCTGTGTGATTCAGTGCAGCTGAAACACCTCATGTGCATCTATTGCTTTTTTTTTGTATGCAAAATCTGAGCTGACACCAATGCGTGCTTAATTGYGGTGTAACTAAAGGGTTTGAGAGAYAAAATAGACKTTTTTACTGTGGTGTGTAACTTACTGCATCTGCAATGTTTGTCCCATGGTGATGTGAGTATTTGATACACACTGCTCACTGACTTGGTTTCTCAGGAGTTACTACAGAGATGGTTAAAGAGACCTAAACAGTCTCTAAATATAGGAGAAGAGTCACCTTTCCAGGCTTTATTTCTATAAAGCAAAGAACACCCCAAAAGCTGATCTTACATTTGTGTCAAGGGACTCATTATARTATTTTGAAAARCACAAAGCAAAGAATAATTGAGCTRTATCACAGCATTACAGATTCATCAAGGATATAATACTTTGTTTTCTTGGCTGCTAAATGTTATGAGGCACATTAAATCTCACCTAAAATGMAAGGTGAACTTGAGGAATTTCTGTCCAATTGCATTTTTCATGAGCTGTATCTTTCTTCAGAAAACAATAGMTATTTTTGAAAATGTTTYTAGATTGCACCCACAATGTTKCTWCTCTCAAAACATCTGTGTGTTTCTCAACAGGTAAAAAAAATACATAAAGAATAGAAATGGGTGACCCGGACCACGGAATGGTGCTTTTGGCTCGTAGGGGTAGTGCTGGAGGTATGTATGCTATTGTGTTCTAGTTTAATTGTTTTATTGGCTGTTTATGAAACATTCTGCAGTTAACAGCCTCATCCAGGAGCTGCTTTAGCACTCTGGTTATGGATTGGGCTGGAAGKGACCTTACAGTTGATCCAGTTCCAGAACSTTCCACTAGGCCRGGTTTATCCARTCCCAGTGTCCAGCCTGGCTTGGGCAGTGCCAGGATMCAGGGCAGCACACTGCTCTGGGCTCTGTGCCAGGCTCCCCATCCTCCCAGGGCAGGATTCTCTCCTCAGTTGGTGCTGAATCCCCTCCTTTCAGGCTGGACCTGCTGTCCCTGGCACTGACAGATCCTGGTTCTGTTTCTCTGGGAGCCCCCTGGGTTCATTCTGATCCAACTGCTGCTCTGCAGGGCTGGAGATGCAATGGAAATGGAAATGGAATCCATTCCATGTGCATGGCATTGGGAGCTTTTGTGGCTTTTAGGGAAAAAATGAAAAAACTCGATTCCTTTTGCTCAATCCATAGGTTACAATAAACATTGGGGCCATTTTCCAATCAGTGCAAGAAGAATGCAGCTACTGAAATTTCGGTTTTTCTGTATTAGAAATTACTAAAATGCCAGTAAATGCAGCTTAAAGTGAATAAATAACTAAATTCACATGTAAATGATACTTCTAAAATTAACTTTTTGTAAGCAGACAACTGGTAAATGTTTCTTATATGATTTTTCTAGTTTATGTTTGTTTCAAATTCTCTTTCACCAACTAACAATATTTTAATGGAAACTTTATGTTTAAAACACTGGGTCTAATTTCTATCTATAATGCTTTCATTTAACACTCACATTTAMATTTTTTAAGAATTTGACATGACCTTATGTGGTTTGTATAACCAGAAAATTCGSTGATTCCTGCAAGAAATGCTCTTGGCAGCCAGAAGGTCAAACCTGTTGACTACAAACATCTGTATGAACTTGCTGCCCAGGCAAAAATGGCCTCTGCACAAATTCAGCTGAAGGTATGATTTTTGTTTCTCCCTGTTATGAACTAAGACAAAACTTTCCTGTGTGTTTTTCTTGTCTTGCTGCCATTGTGCCATAGAACAATGGATTTGCATGAAGGAAACGATGTTTTTGTGAAGACCTTGGACAGTTTGAGGGCCTCTCTAATTGGAGAGATTTTGTAAAAACCCTCTTTTTTGGTAATACGTTTTTGAAATTGTTTTTCTTGACATACTTTTACTCTTTTGTCTTCCTGCCTGTAAAAAAGTATATTTTTTGTTCTCCTGCTCATCTTGCCCGCCTTTACCTCTGGGGAAATAGGGATAAGAAAGGAAAGAAGAAAATGGACTTAATTTTTTTTCCACTTTCTCCTCTCATTAATTGTGATTTGAAATGCAACAAACTTTTTTTTTCATGAAAATTGGTTAAATTGAGCCCATTGCTCTTTAGGAAAGGAGAGTTTTTAAGAAAGCTGTTAGGTTCAGCATTTTGTATTTAAAAGTTTCCATATGAAGGCATTTGATAAAGCTATTAACATGTTCAAAACACAAGTTTTAATTTTCCCTGCAGATTAAAAAAACAGAGCAAATGTCAAAAATTAGCAAAGAGCAAATGCTGCTGAAACAGCATCGTCAGGTGTGGTGGCAAGAGCATAAAAGATTGACTGAGAGCAGGTAAGAGCTGAGGAATGTGAGTGAGTGGTGACTAAAGAGACTTCAACAGACAGGATTTGGGCTGGCATACKTGATTCAAGGGACATTGAGAAGAAAATATTAAAATACCTGATGTGAAGGTATTTTAGTGTGGGTGTGAAAGTTTGTGATTTCCATGGAGAGGGGTCTGTGCCACAAAGAGCTCTGGACATGAACTGAGGGATGGAGAGCAGCAGATGTGCTGTTAATTGATCTGCAGCATCTGAGTCTGGCTCTTTGGAGAGTATCAAAAGTTTTCAAATGCTTTTTAAAGCCTTTAGAGTCTGTCTCATGTGTTTGTTGAGTGTGCACTTCCAACAGGGAGCATAAACAGTGCTCTTGCTACTCCCCTGTGTGCTTTACAGACACAGATGAACAACAGCATTTGTGGCTTCTTTACCATCTTTGTGTCCCAGTCCTTCACCTCATACCTTCCCAGGCAAAGAATCCCCCTTTTTATTGAACTGTTGGAGTGGTTGAGGCTCATCATTCTTGCAAATGTGATGAACAACAAATTAAAGCTTCTGCAAAATGCATKTTCATTTTCTTCAGACAAAAAGCAGAAGGAGAAATGAAGACTTTTCTTGATGAAGAAAGCCATAAGGACAACTATTTTTTTGATTTGAGGGACTTGGGTAAGAWTTTTTTATTAATTTCTTAATTATTTTTCATAGTCAGTATTATCTTGATTGTTTTGGTTTTTAAATCCCTGCCTTGACAGGTTTAGATTTCCAGAGCACGGTGCTGTGTGACATTTCTGGGTGTTTTAGAAAGCTTTATGTTTCATCCAGAGCAGAAGTTGTCCAAGGAGAGGGACACTTATCAAACAAACACTTTAGTTCCTGTCTGGCAACTGAAGGAGGATTTGAAATTCCAGCTGGCTGAAATGCAGCATTCCCTCTCCAAAGAATCTCTGGGCAAACCCAGGATCAATTCCRTTGAGGTGTTACAGCAGGTTGGTATTGACTTTATTTTTACAATTTATCATCACCATATTTTTAGCATTTTCATTTATTTTTATGTTGAATTTTGTGATTGTAACTCACATGCAGAGCGTCCCATAAACCCCTCTTCTTACCATGGTTTAAATCTGCTCACCAAAATCTGGAAAAGTGCAGCAGTTTAGGGCTGCAAATCCAACTGGGTTCTAAATAAGAGTTTTCATATTGTAACAAGAGAAAGAAGTAACAGTAACATGTTTTATGAGATAGATCAAATTTGTGAAGAAGCAACAGAAGGCACTTTTGGAAGGTCTTATCCTTGAAAGTCTGGCTTTGGAAAGAGAACTCGAGGAATATAAAGAAAATGTAAGCTGTTCCTTGTAAGTTCAAATTTATTGAGAGGGTAAATGTGGTGCAGAGTAGTGTCCTGAGCAGCATTTCTTCACCACAGGCATCAGTGAACTCTTCTGAAGAGAAAAACGGAGTGTTCCTTGCAATYCCCCCCGAGCTGCTGTGTCTGGARTGCCCTGACCCCGAGCTGAAGGCTYTGGTGATCAGAGAGTACCAGGAGCTCTCCAGTGGGGTCTGGGGGAAGCTCCAGGAGGTGGATCAGCAGCTGGAAGCTTTGTCCAGGTAATGACACATTCCTGCATGGCTTTGGTGAGAGGAAATGCATGTCTGTGATGTGATTGGGAATCTGTGGATGCTGTGGTTGGTTCTGTTCTGTGCAGAGCAGAGGGGCACTGCCATCCCTGGGGTTTATAGAGCACAGTGAAATCAGTCCTTGTAAGAGCTCCTGGCTAAAGTAACAAGGAACACCTTTGGTGGATAAAGAACCACCAAACTGGTGCACAATCAAATGTCCTTTTCAYATGCTCTTGCAGGAGTGGAAATGAATCCTTCTGTATGGTGATTATCACAGTTATTGCAGAAAAGTGCAGTCTTTGCCAGACACACCTCTACACTTGTGTCTATAAAGCAGATAAAAAGGTCCAGTCTGTTCTCAAATTTTGGATCTCTGCAGTAACTCTCATCTCAAAGAAATTGAAATGATTCAGCTTTTCTGAATCTTCTCTTCTGAGAGATTTTTCTGTAAATGGAAACGTTTACAGAAAGAGCAGTATTCATCATGATCTAGCAGTGTACCAAACCTGTATTAATAAGGCTTGGCCTTTGTGCTGAGGCTGTCTGGAGTCTGACATTGGGTGGCCTTTGAGCTCTTTTTGCCATCTCCTGACATTGCTCTGGCTTTGGTGGCTTCAGGCTGTCAAAAGACTGAGCAAGGGGAGGGCAGGGGAATGGTTTGAAACCTGGGCAGGAAAAACAGGGAGGAACAGAAAAAGCTGAAGCGTTTCTTTGGTAAAACAATTGCATGTTCATGTTGCTTCCAAATCTGTTTTCTATGTACACACACAGTGCAGCTCTGGTTCTGTCCCTGCTGCTGAATTGTTTGGTGTGCTGGAACAGGCTGGAGGTCCTGGATACCATAGAAAGGGCTGTTAGATCTGCTCACCCTCTGTACAAATTGTACAAATATTCTGTGTTTTGTTCTTGTGTTACATGAAGCCTGCTATGTTATTACTGGAGCATTCTAGCTGTTAGAACACGATACTTTTTGAAAATTGCTTTATCCCATGTTTATAGCATTGATGAAGCCACAAATGTCAMATTTAAGTAGTTCTGCTGCTGCTATCTCTGATATTTGGTTATAGTTGCCCTCACAGAAGAAGTTTTAATAACCCCAATGAGAAAGCCTATGACAAATGCTAAATCACTAAATGTGTACAATGTCTTTCTAGTGGTTTTAATCAAAATGATGTCAAAGTTCAT